GTCGGCGACGGGCACACCTACGCAGACGTCGAGGGCGTCACGCTCGTCTACGGCGTTACGAAAGATCAAGGCTATGTTCTTGTTTCTAACCAAGGCGTCAGCTCGTACAACGTCTACCGCCGCGCTGCCCCCCACGAATACGTCACAACTTTCACAATCACGAAATCCGCCGACGGACAGGTTGATGCGGTTTCCAACACTGACGGCATCACTGCCGTCGGCACCCACCTGAACAAAGACTTCCCCCATGGCCTTGTCGTCGTGCATGACGATGCGAACCAGTTCCCCAACGGGAGCACGAGCACTGAAGCCAGCTTTAAGTTGGTCAGTTTGGAGAAGATTTTGGGGGCCGAGGCGCTCAAGTCGCTCAACCTTTTGGATGATGCCGATGCAAACTGGGACCCGAGGAAGATGATTAAGCAATGAGACCATGACATAGCTGAGCGTTTTACATATTAGATCTAATGATAACTAGCCTCATCAATGCCATGAAAAGCAGCCGCCATATGAGGCAGCTTGTACAGAACAGTCTCATTGCCAAAGATTTAGCGCATCAAGGAATCATCGCTTCTGCCACTTTTCCTCGGGAGGATAGACAACGATCCGATCGAGATCAGCGCCTTTATAATCGAAGCCGTTGTAAAGTCCACCAACCGTAATCGTGTTTCTGCCCTTCTGCAGAGGAAGTAAGAGAGGGGTTGACAGAATGATGCCTTTGTGGGTATCCTTCTGGTACAACGTGTGCATGGAGCTGTTATCCCCATTGACCACGACACTGCTGATGCGGCGGAGTTGCCATGCCCCATTAACGCGATCCGGCTGACCGAATGGCTGGTCACCGAAGCCCATGTCATCGATATCTGCATGCATTAGTAATGACTGTCTTGTAGTTGCATGGCGGGCTTACGCTGGTGATAGAAAGACACCCATTGATCTCGGCCTTGTTCCTCGACTTCGAAGGTGATGGTGCTGTTCTTGCCGTATATAGCAGTGGCGATGACATTGTGGCTACCAAATGTCTGCGTGTCATCCGTCAGCAGAGCTCTCCGGAGTTTCTCGCATGCGGGTATGGCAGTCAACTCACAGCTTCCTGCAAATGCGCAGATCCGCTAGTCTTGGCGTATCTGGAGGTATACGTCTTTCCACGAACGGGTTTCCAAACACCAGTCTTCCTGCATTGGATCGTCAGCCAAGTTCAAATTCACATCGCAACTTTCTTCAACTCACACATCAAGATCGTAGACATCATGCCATGCAACCTTGAGACTTTCTGATATCTCGTCGATTTCAATCGGGAGCCACACATTACGGCTTTCCCAAAGCGACAGCATGTCCCATTGATCAGCCATGTGAAAATATGTAGTCGCCTTGGACCCCTTGATTCTCCAGGAGAACCCAGATTGGGTGCTGAATGTCCGGGTGTACGCCGGTGCCACGAAGAATGGTTGATACCAGGGTCCCTCGAGTTTGTCGGCGCGCATTGCCACCACATCTTACTTCTTCGTCAGTTCCTTCAAGCTTCTCTGGCCGAATTTGAACTTTAGAGTACGTGCTGGGGTTCACACTCACTGTTGGGACGATACCCCGTCTTATGACTCATAAATGCAAAGTAACTCTTCTCAGTTTGCAGAATCGTCGGCGCCTCAAAGTTATACTTGTCAAACCGAAAGGTAACTTCGTCGACATCTGTTAGGTTTCTGTTGAACTTGCTAACATACACATCACGTCCTTCGGGGCGGTCGCCGTTCGAATAAAGAGCCTACGACTCTCCCGTCTTGTGGTCCGTGAACGTCCCAAAGTCTTGCGACCAGTTGCCCAGGGGCGAGATCGCTTTCTGGAAGGTGTAGGGACCGGCGATACTATCGGAAGTAGCGAGCCCCTGAAGCAGTAGGCTGTACTTGGAGTCGTCGACGTGCCACCACATCTGCAAGTGTCAGCTTGTCAAGGGTGACTGCTAAGCTGGATTTTGTCTCTCGAGGGCCGTGTTTTCTCTTACATGATACTGGCCAGTCTTTTTGCTGTATATGACCTTTGGACGCTGGATGCGATTGTGAGAGAAGACGTAGGGATGGTCCTCAACCGGCGCTAGGTCAAATATCAGCACATGAATTGGCGTCCGATAAGAAGTTGGGCCATAACTACCAATCGCGAGGCCATGCGAAGTCCAAGTCGCCAAGTCGTCAGAGCTGTATACAGAAACACCGTCACCTTCAACTTGCCCTTCAACTTTGTACTCTCCAAACCAGTAGAATCTGCCAGTCTCTTGGTCAACGTCAAGGCCGCCGGCGTGGGCGTTGAAGATGTTTCCATCGGTGTCATGCCATCGGGCTCCCGGAACGATCCACTTCGCTGTCACCGCTGTGGCGAGCCAGACGATGTGAAAGAGACGTCAGAGGTACATAGTGAGTGCTCTTCGAGTGGCAGGGTAGTGTGATGATAATTGAGGCTTGGTCGGAAGGCCAGTGTCCACGGCCGCTTGATGCCTCAAAGCCCCATCCAATGAATCTTGTGCTGTCTTGTGGTAAACGTGTTTTATTTCATGATTTGCCTATTCATCTGACATCAGTGACGAGTTTTCTAACCTATTTTTGGCCCTTCTCGGTATTCAAGTTCGATCTTTCACCGAATTTCGGAGCAAAGGAAGGAGTTATCTTGCGCCAAGCAACCCAGCCATCACGATACTCCTACGAACCATCATTTGGCTTGGACATTCTCGGTTTCGGGTTGGCTGGTTGGCCTTCTTGGCAATCCTCAATATTTGTGCCGGCGCTAGCCTTTGTGGAAAGGCTTACATGCGCCAAGACAAGATATTATCTCCAGAACTTGCCTAAACATGTTTATGATGGAAAGTTCTAACCCCTGCTCCCCCACACAACCCCACGACTGTACCTACAGATTCTTCCGTGGGGGTGAGATCCCACGGGGAAGCTCGTTCAACCCTGGCTGAGAGAGAACAAGATTCGGTGCAAAGCTGAACGAGTGAAACTTTTTTTGGTGAGTGATCGACGTTTCTTGATCCGATCTCCAATGCATCGTCCAGACGGGACACAGAGGATGAAATTGTTCCGCGAACGATTTAACATCTTTCGACGAATTAGTGCCCGCCAACTTCCACTTTTCTCTATAGAATGATGATAGTTTCCGTATTCTGGTGACACAAAACCAAGCATTTCCGTATTTTACTCGGAATCATGCCCTAATGGAGGCTCCAGATACCTTGCTATACTACTTGGCTATGTCATTCAAGTTGATCAAAGCTAGCTGTTTGAAGTGGGCGAGAGATCAAAGGACTCGGACGTGCGTTTATTTTCATCCATTTGACCGAATCGCTCCCTGATATCCCGATGGCGTTGTTTTGTAACTGTTCTTGACTTTATGAACGCTAATCAAGTTTCCCTATGAAGACTCAGTATTACTTTCTGCTACATCGCGCTACGTGATTCGCGGATCTTGCTTCATACATATGGCGTACTGAAGCTTTTAATGCATGCGTTTTGGTATGCGGGTCAAAGGGGACTCATTGTTTTGGTATTGGTGAAAGTACATGACCCCGAAGCAAGATACTGATAATTGAGGCCCCCAGACATGACGCATTTTGACAAAATGCAGAATATCTATAAGTCGACGCCAATGTTCGCAGATTAACCAGAAGTTACCACGCTGACTCAATCGACTCATCTCATATTTCATCATGCTCTTTCATCGACTTATTGCGGTCGCGGCGGTTGCATCTGGTTTAGCCAGTGCACTTACGGACCTGGGTCCAGTCAAAGGTCTCAACCGACGACTGGCAAAGTCTACACAATGTGTGGTACCCGCCAACGGTGACGGATCCGATGACACACCCGCCATCCTGGCCGCATTCGACAAGTGCAAGACTGACGGACACATTGTCTTCGAGAACGTCACGTACCACATTGGCCAGATCATGAAGACTACTGATCTCAACAACGTCAAGATCGATATTAAAGGGACCCTCTTGGTAAGTGATGTGCAATCCGCGTCGTGTTCTATCACCTGTGCAGCTTATGTGATTGACTCGGGATTCAGTGGAGCAAGAACACGACTTATTGGCTGGAGAATTCTCTACCGATTGGCTACCAAAACCAGACGACCGCCTGGGTTCTGGGTGGAAAGCATCTCGACATCAACGGCTTTGGCTATGGAACATTCGATGGTAACGGCCAGACTTGGTATGACTTGGTCAAGGGAGAATCGAACTATCCTAGTCAGTGATACTCGGTGAGGTGTTGCCTATAACGCAGTTATCTGACCCTAAGTAGACAGGCCTCATGCTCTATTGCTTGACGGAGCAGAAGACTCCGTCTTCGAGGGTCTTCGATTTGTCCAAGCTCAAATGTGGTACGTTGCAAACATACCTCGTCCGCTAAGTTTGTTCTTCCATCCATCAGTAATCCAATTCTGAGCAATCTCTCGGTATAGGACAGTCACAATCACACGGTCCGAACGCGTTCTCCTTCAAGATATTTACGTCAACAACACAAGTTCCAACAGAAACCCTGCCCGTGATACCGACGGTGCTAATACTATGTTCTCGGACAACATCCACTTTCGTCGCTTAACAGTTAAGAATGGCGATGACTGCATTGCCACCAAGGCCAACTCGACAAACATTCTGATCGAAGACGTCGAATTCCACGATGGCCAGGGCGTGGCAATTGGCAGCATTGGGCAGTATGCAGGCCAGTTTGAGACCATTGAGAATGTTACGGTGAGGAACGTCTTGGCCCATGGATCTCGTTACGCTGGTCGCATCAAGACGTGGACTGGTGAGCAGCTTGGATATCCACCAAATGGCGGGGGTGTTGGTTTAGGATGTAAGTCATGCCTTCAGACCATAGCGGGTTGGGATGGCGCTGACTTCACCCCAGATGCTAGGAATCTCAGTAAGCCGAAGCAGAACAGGGCCATCGGTTATTCGCCGCCATGACCTGACTTCATGAATATTGCGGCCAAGTACCAGACTAATCATTACGAATATGGGCTGGGATAATGTAACCATCTACGACGCGGAACAGGCTCCCACATACGTGATGCAATGCATCACCTACAACGGGCAACAAGGAAATTGCAGCTCGTCTCTATTTGACATCTCCAACATCAGCTTCACCAACTTCCGTGGCACACTCCAAGAAAGCCGCGTCGCCTACCCTCAATGCAGTCGGGCTCATGGTGGATGTGACGATGTCCGAATCGAGAACATGAACTTCACCAACATCAGTGTGGACCCACCGACTCCCGCAACAGGATACAGGTGCAGCAACGTCAACGATCCGGAAGGGTTTGAGTGCTAAGCTCTAGTGTGGCAGAAATGCCTATGCGCCTGCAAATGCAATGGAACGGGGAGTCATGAAGAGGTTTCTCAGTTGGTCTAGCGCCAACGTCTACCTGTATATAAAGCAGGAATAGTGCCACTAGTGTTGTTGTGGCTCGCTCTCAGTGTCGACATCAACCCAATCTATATTGATGTCAATCTCATCTCCATCCACGCTTTCTTTTCCGCTTCTCTTGTGCTCCTCCCACATGGCCTGCTGAAGGTGCTTGAGAATCTGAGTTCGCCGAGGACGGATAGATCCAACAGCCGCCCACACGAAATCATGGCCATAAAACCTTTCTTAGCCTGTGAGGCCACGGTCGGGTCATGATGGCGGCCAATCTCTTGGAACCGACGCCGCCAGTAAAGCCATCTCGACTGAGAAAATCTAACGTCGTGGATGCCTGCTTTCTGGGCCGAGATGCCAGCTGTTGCTGGGCCATTCTCCTCTGGAGAGCGTGTTCCCTGCAATCTCATCAATGGCAAGGAAAACAGCTTGAAGGCGCAATTTTGCACCAAAATGGCGGCAGAAGGAAGGTAGACCAGGCCATCGGTATCTTCTTCAGTCTCGAGGGCGTTCCGCATAACCCATGTGGCAGTTGGCTCAATATCGTCGCTCACTCCAAGCGCAAAGCACTTTGCTGAGAACATCGCCAGATTGCTCATTTTGGAAACGTTCCTCTCCGTCGAGAGGTGTTCCCAAGATGATTGCAATTCCCTAGCAAAGCCATACCCCTCCCAAGATTCATCAGCAATCTCATTTGGGTGAAGTTGTCTGTAAACAGAGTCATACTCTTTGGTCCATAGCAGCAGGGATACAAGGCTATCCTGGAATGAGTCTTCCTGGTGAAGATTCTGAGCAGTAATGCAGAACATATGCCACAGAAGATTCAGTCCTTCTTGGTATTCAGGAGATTGGCGCGCGGCATCCTTGATGAATTTGAGGGCAAAGCTCTGGATGGAGACCAGCTGGTCAATTTTGTCCGTTTCTGTTGCAAGATTCTGTGCATCTGCCTCGAAGGACTGGGTGACTTGATGCCTGAAGTCGGCAGCACGAGCCTTTTCGGATGGGAAAGTCGAAGTCCACATAGCCGCACACTACTGACTGATTGATGTAGGAGCATGAGCTGAATGACGGCCCTGAAGGATTGAAGTGTTTTATGTGACTTGTATGTTCATCACAGAAGCAAGTCAGGCTTTTATAAGGTTTCCTCATGGCAGAGCCTCAGGAGGTTCGAGTGATGGTGAGACGTAAGCCGACTGCACTATGAGTGGCCATCGGTCACCTGATCTAGGCAGCTACTCCAGGCAGCTATTTCGGGGTACGTACCGGAGATTGGAGAGATGTTCAAGTATACGCGTGGGCTTGTTTTTTTACATTTGATCATGACTTTCTTCAATTATCGTCATCGGGTTTGAATCTTTCAAAATCAACTGAAGGCATCATGGGGCCGTCCATGGGAATGACGCGCGGAAGCGACGATTGTTTTGGCCAATCAGCAACGAGAGTCGCATCCACTAAATTCCATCTTAGGCAGCGCTTGCATCCTTATTGTCATCCTCTACCAGCCTCTGAGGCAGGGTAATATGACGGGCTAATTGTAACAGGCTCATGGGGGTTTGTAATTCATACAGGTGACAAAGCTTGTTCATCGCTCCTTGATTCATCGAAATACAAAGGGCATCCACTTCATTCGTGGTGTCTCATGACCAGTTGAACTGGGCTAAAGCTAGCTTGGACGAAGTAGTCATTATTTTGTGAATTTTGATGTATGTAACCTAGTCTATATGTACATCGGAAGGGATTCTATCCATTTATCGCTCCCATTTTCCAACCTTTGGGTATGTCTATGTGATGAAGCAGAGATCTATAAAACTTGAATTAAAGGAGAAACCTTGTCACGGGGCCAAAGCAGATCCTCTAGGCGGAAGCCTTGATGATGTCCGAAGCCTTCTCGGCAATGGCGTAGAGAGTGGACACAAGGTGGCCGCAAACCTGGAAAGGCAGGACACCGGCATCGACGACGCGGACGTTGCTGGTGCCGTAGACCTTGAGGTTGACATCGACAACACCGCCCAGCTCCTTTGACATCATGGCGGTGGTGCCGACGGGGTGGAAGTTGGAGCGGTCTGTGTTTATGATGGTTAGCACACATGTTCAGATCGTCAGGTAATTGAGCAAACTTACAGTTCTCAAGGATCCACTTGGACCAAACATCGTCAGAGGCGTCCTCGGCGATGGTGGCCAAACCAGGCTTGGTCTCGCTGGCGAAGTACTGGCTCAGAGGAGCAGTCTTGTACAGCTGACGGATGAACTTGGCGGTGCCAATCTGCTCGGTCATGTCCCAGTCCATCATGAAGTAGTTGGGGTTGATCTTGGCAGCAGAGGAGTTGGCGCCGGTGACATGGATGTTGCCGCGAGCGAAGGGCAGGAGGGCCCAGTACTCGGTGGAGAAGGAAGAACCGGCAGGGGTGATCAGGATCTCAGCGAGGGGGACCTTGTCGGTGAAGATGAGGTCGTACTGGATGTCGAAGAACTTGTCGAGCTGCTCCTTGGTGACGACGCCGTTGGTGTACTCGGAGACCTGGGCGGCCCACTGGGAGAGCTGGGTCTTGATGTTGGCAGCAAGGGAAGCGGTCTGGTTCGCGAAGACGTCGACGACGTTGGGGTAGGCAACGAAGGTGGTGACACCGGTGAAGTTCTTGGAGCTGGTCTGGGCCAGGCCGTTGTTCATCTGGTCCTGGAGGTTCTCACCGACGGTGGGGAGGTTGACCTTAGTCTGGATGCCGGCGGCCTTCAGGATCTCGGGGTTTCCTACACCGGACTGCTCCAGGAGAAGAGGAGATCTGAGAGAGCCAGCAGAGAGAATGACCTCCTTGTTGGCATAGACGGTGTGGGTAGCACCGGTCTTGTCCTTGACGAGAACTCCGGAGGCGGTGGCCTCAGCTCCCTCAGCCCAGACGAGTTTCTGAGCCTCGGTGTTCAAGAAGACGCGGAAGTTGGTGCGGTTCTGGTAGGGGAAGTAGTACGCGCGGGCAGCATCATCGCGAACCTGAAGAGCAGTGTCCAGGGTGGCGGGGTAGATGTTCCAGCCGACCATGTCTCCACCAGCAATGTCCTTCAGGGCAGGGACGCCAACGGCATTGTAGGTCTGGTTCAAGACGTCGACGAAGGACTTCTCGACACCGCCGGACTTCCAGCCGACCTTGAGAGGACCAGAGGTACCGTGCTGCTCAGGGATGTAGGTGACGCCATCGTCAACCTGGACAGTGGTGGGGGGCTGGAGAGTCTCGGACTTCTTGTAGTACTTGAGAAGGTTGTTCCAATTCCAGCCGTCGTTGCCAAGACGCTCCCAGATGTCGATCTGAACGTCCTGAGCACGGGTGTAAGCCATGCCGTTGATAGTGCTGGTACCGCCGAGAGCCTTGCCGGCACGGAGGGTCTGGGTCTTGTTCCCGCCATACTTCTGGGCAGTAGTCTGGTAGGCGTAGTCGATGTCGGTGCCGAAGGCCAGTCCGTAACCAGAGGGACTGGTTACGTTGACATTGTCGTAGACAGAGTCACCGGCCTCAATGACAGCGACGGTGACATTCTTCAACTCGGAAAGACGGTTGGCAACGACCAGACCGCTGGTACCACCACCGATAATGACATAGTCAAAGCGCTGCGAAGACGCAGCAGGATAGGCGAGCGCGGTGGCCGCAAGAAGCGGTAGGGAGACAATGGAGCGCAGCATGATGAAAGTTGAAGTCGGATGCAGTGCGATGCTGAGGTGGGAATAGAAACAGCACGTGGTGACGATCCCTTGAGTTTATATCTAGCTCCCGCCTGGCTCAACGGCTGGCCTGCTGGGTCCTATGTTCACCGCGCGGTAGAATCAACTTATGTCATGCTTAGAAAGTCTTCCAAATTTCCATCCAGGTTGCTGTAGCTGAGTTGATCCGCTCTCTCCACCGACTGGTGGGCATTTTCTGGATCTCGGCGCTCGCGCGTAAATCCGCAGAGTTGTCTAAGTCCAGACTCCCGGAACCAGCCAAACCTCAAGCGTGATCTTGGTAGATAAACAAGGGGGCCGCTACGCGAACTCCGAGTGACGTATGTTCTGTGAAGATATGACGAAAAATCCCTATTTTTACTTCTTTTTTGTGCTGATGCGACTCTGTAATGGCGAAAACGAGCCTCTCGCGAGTCAGCTTTTTTTTGTTTTTCTTGAACATTCGCCCACGTAACGGCAACAGCGAGAAACAAGAATTTGGGCTCCACTGTTGTTTTTCCTTACAAGTGGGTCTTTGAAATGCTTAGCAAAAGATTGCCGACATGATCAGGGCAACCCAACTCCACAACGCCATGCTCGGCTTCTTCGGACAGTCACTAATGCATTATTAAGACCAGATACGCGGATGGTGCCTTATCATATTGTCTCACTTATACACGTGGGAGGCACTTCTGCCCTGCAGGGACGTTCAGGAGACAACATCGGAGTTCGTCTAAATACGCACGACTCCCCTGGCTGTCCTTTTTACGGCGGGCGCTGAGACACCGCTCGCGACCCTAAATTTCCATATCAGGAAGGAAGTTATCGTTCAAGCCCTTCTGCATCTTGGGAGATCCAAGTCAATATCTAGTAACACTGGCTACTCGAGTAGCTGATGTTCACAAATTTGTCTATTTCGCTGGGATCTTAGGAATGATCCTAGATGTAAAGACTAGTGCGACTGTAATTCCGACTGCCTCACTGCAATAAGTGGACAAATGGCCTAGAGGAATACTACCGCCTACGTTCCCACGGCTACAAATCACTAGAGCATAGACGAAAGCATCCGAGTTGGTTTCGACTTATCTCGGAACCTGGCGGCATCGGAGAGGAACGACAACCTAGGACTATCCCCGAAACGCCCCTCAACTTGGCTGACACAATGGGATGAACATTCCAGCCAACAGTTCAGTTCAACACCCATGCAGGAGATTCAAATACCTTGTCCCCGGTCGTGCAAACGCTCTCGCGCGCGGTTGTCAGCTTCCGCCGCGATAGCGCCGGAAGTGCCACCGGGACGGCGGTGGGGCTATCGGCCCGGCTGAGAGATTTCAGGGATCTCGCAGAATTCTGCACAGGGCCGAGACCAATGCTGGCCACCGTCCTCCCGTTGCATGCGGCTTTAACGTTGAATCCTTAACTTTTGGCGAACCCCATCTGAGCACATAGTCAATCTCACTGCAACATGGAGCGGCAGACACCAACGGCGCGGTAAAGATCATCCCGCATGCTGGATCTTATTGAGCGTAGTATTACTCGGAGACCGAGCTTATACATGCTATTTTGTGAAGAGCCTCGTTGAGTTGATGTTCACAACGTTCCGACTTATGATAAATGTCGCCATGGGGGTCTCCGAATGCGTGCGGCGATCCGTAGGTTGTCATTTGTTTTTGCAGGGGAGCTGAGTATTGCGCCCCTAGAGGCTAGGTCCCGGTCGATCGGCTGGGCAAGTTCCTAGCGTCTCCACTAAGTAAATGAAGGAAGTTTTCAATCCAGGGACGGAACCTGAAAATGGACAGGCTGTGTTCATGGGTTCAGACAGGTTGGGAGCTCGATAGGGGCGTGCTTATCGCATCTTATCAGATCAAATGACGTAGCTTCTTCATGTCTTCAATGCTGAGGAGATTGACGATGTCAACACGCAGTCGTAGATGTGATGTGTATTAATGGTTTCGAATCTCATTACTTGTACATCTTCCCTGTCAAAAGGGCAAATGAGCAGGCCGACATATCAAAGAGACCAAAGTTGAAACAGGTAAGAACATGAAACAGAGTTCTTAAATGCACTGCAGAGGCTTTGCCTTCTATTACTACCGTCATTTCATGGACGACAATAGGACAGCTGACCTCGAGTTCTTTCGGCGCCTGTCCGAAGGCGAGGAGACGTCGCAAAGTTTGCTTGAACGATGTCCGTCAAATCTGATGTCCAAGGTAGTCTGCGGTCACTTTTCCCTGTTTATGTTTTCATACAATTATTCTTGCAAATTGAATGGCGTCTGAATTCCAATGTATGATCAATTTCAAGATCTCTAGTACTCGATTACGCAACGTTGTTTAATCGTCATGCAACCCATCCTTCCGCGCGGGCAATGGATGATTGTCTTGGCAATACTCTTCTCAGACGTGAAGGGCTTTCAAGACCCCGCTCTCTGATCATAAGTAATAAGATCATTCAAGCTACAGGGCCTTTTCCTTTCGGGTCTAAAGACAACAGCATCAGATGTCGGACACCACCACCGGAAGCCCTCAATCGACTCCTCTTCATCGACGATATGTATCGAGCCTGAACGGCTCTCCATAATAATCGGGCAACTTGCACGCCGACTGCGGTGACAGCGCAAAGCAACTGACTGCTTGGGGCCTTGAAGGTTCGCTTGCGAGGCAGAATAGTCGCTTGTATCCCCCGTTGTTGGTGATGTTCAGAGCCGGGCGGATGAGAGTCATACTGCCGGGGGGGACAGACGCGGTGTATGTGTTGGTTGTTTCGTCAAAGTTCACAGTGGTACTGTGCTCTCTGTCTACTTCCGTGGAGATTGAGCTTGATATGCAACTATCTGTCTGGGCGGTGACTGCCGGAAGGAGACAGAACCAGAGGTTCGTGATTGAGAGGATAGTGAGCTGCATCTTTTGTTGAGAACGAGGTGTTTGATGTGATGAAAGATATAAGAAAACGAGCGAGTGATGTGAAGATACATTCCTCTGGCCACCTTTAAATACAAAGCGGCATGCAGACTATCAGCTGGCTCACTTCCCGACTCGATGTTCACCGAAAGCCCCTGATGCCTCTGCCAGTAACATATGGGTGAGTAAGTATTTCTTGGCAGCTCTTATTTGACACACAGGGCAGATTCTTCGAGTCATGGCATGAATGATGCATCTGGCAGCTTTGCTTCATGAAGACGACTTGCCTCAGCTGTTCCGGATCATAAATTAAGACACGAGGGCAACATTCCTGCAGAGATTGAGCACCCCACAGTCCTTTTAGCTGAGTCTCAGTAAACTAACCCATATCACCTCGACGCAGGCTGCCTGTCCTCGGTGAATCGTTAGCCACTGGGACCCAAGGCTTGAGCCATATGTCTAATCCGTCACGCGTCTACAGAAGGCGCATGTAGAATTAATACCTACCTAAGCAGATGCATGTCAGAAAACAGCACCTGTGCTAATGAACAGGGTTGTGTGTTTCGTCGCGAACAGACCCCCCAACTCCTTTCCGCCCACGGCCTCATCATCGCGGGATAAAAGTCAACTCAGAACGTTACAATGATTCCGCCCAAAACTGCGGTTTCGCGGGCTGAAGTAAAAGTGAGTTAAATTTGGACGTGCTCCGCTATGGTATTGATCGACTTCCGTGACTCGTTGAACTATCCGCAGAAGTCTCAATCAATTATTTGAGTTCTAGACATGAATTTCAGTAAAGAGCTCTATTAGACTCTTTCTATTTGAGACAATGCCAACAGATTTGTGTTTGCGATTCTTTTGTCCTCCTTGACCACCTAATCTGACACATCGTGAGCTGATACGACACCTTGAAATTGGTATTTTCCCGCTCTATCTGTTTCACAAATATCTTGTCAGTCCAAAGAACCTTCAAACGCACACAATGCACATCTCCTTCATACTACTTCTCTCTGGGGTATCAGTTGCATTCGCCCTACCACAGGTGTGTGATGAGAGCTGTCCAAATCCATGCCGACAGGCCATCACGAACACCTACTGCACCGGAGCCCGAAACCCCATTTTTGGGACGCCTCCACCTGCTAAATTCAAAACTCAATGGAACTGCCCCGCCGGCGGAAGCTCGCCTCAAGGAGCATATATCCAGATGACAGAAGATGGAGCTGCAGAGGACGGTGTCACAGTATACTGTGTCATGTGAAGACCTCCGTCAATTCCGGAATTTGGATAGCTGGCACCTCGAAGGGCTGAGGTCATGCTGTAAGAGACCGTAACTTTAGATGCTCGTCCGCCTCAAAAGCTGGGAGGGAATACATTCGTATATGTTTGTGTATTGTTGGTATACGCTAGCGAAAGAGATGCGATTAAAAAAACAATTCCGTTTCAACGTGCTACGTGACAGCTGAGCTGCACCGGGCTGATCTCTAATGGCAGGGCACCAATTTCGCATTCTTTTCTATGCACATGATTCTCGCTGGTCATACTTCATGCCCTCATCGTCTTTGTGATTGCACTCGCCAACAACGTTCTCACTACGTCGCTATTATAGAGGAGTTGACTAAATAGCCATAATAGCCATTTGATTGGCAGAAGCATTTTCAGAACTGATTCGGAAATTTAACTATTGATTCCCCAAAGTTCTACAGTCGTCATTCCAGCCTAGCCTTCTTCAGTAGGAAATCAAGAACGCCGTCACCTACAAAGTGGCTGTAATAGATGGAATTCGCAGCTGTCACCTCCATCAACTCATACCCCAGAGCCTCGAGCCCATAACAATACTCTACCATCTCCCTATCCTTTTTGGGGTCAAAAGCGCTGCCTAAGCGAAATTGCCACGCATCCTTACGGGGTTGCCACTCAATGGTAAGAAAGCTTCCAGGGCTCGCCTGGGGATCCCAGCGGGCTTTCTCTTCAACAATATTCTCTGCCTCGTTCAACGACTCCTCCCAAGCGGCCGCCTCGACCTTATCATTGCCGTTATCGTCCAAGCGGTTAACAGCAAAGATCTTCCGCGCATACTGCCATTCCATAATAGGTCCAGGCAGAAACCACGAGACTGCCTCACCATAATCAAGCATCAACATACGGCTGCGGACCTCCTTCTCATGGTGACGTGCGCAGACTTCCGCACGTTCAGCGTCTGTTAATGATAGAGACAAGGGAAGTGTGATAACTTCAATTCGGTCTGGTCTGGAGTCTCGACGTTGGCGGTACTGAGAGGTACGATCAAAGACAACGCGTGCTAGGCGAGCGCTGCGGGCAGGATGAGCGTTCTGTGTCGTGTCGTAAATGGCGATGCCCAACGAAGGGCGCAGAGGTCGGACTGCGGTTTCGGAGTTTTCTGGGGTATGTTCAAAGACTGAGTACGCAGCGAAGGTTGGGGCGCCGTCATGGCTGGGCGCAGAGTGGACGACGGTCTTTGGTGGAAATGGATTGCGGCAGTATCCCGCTTCCACACCCTCGGAGTGGTCGTAGATTCCTTCTTCTTCATTGACGTAAAGAGAATACTGCGGATCCTGTGTCTCCAAAGGATAGCCATAGTCCCCTGGTCGAGGGCAGAACTGGCACATCGTGTGAACGGTTTCTGAGTGATGGGCAGTTTCGACCGATAATATAGTTTGCTTCTTGAGGTTTTTAAGAGGGGTTTTTTGAGAAAAGGAAAAAAACATGTTTGACGGGCAGAAGAGGCCATTCACGAGTGCTACCTATTCGTACCGAACGTCTCGCCCCGCCTTTACTAGGCAGCACACCTCCAGAGTGGGTTGACCGTCGGCTGTTGGTGGGCCTGCCGGTCAAAATGGCGGCACAGTCGTCGATACGCAGCGGTGAAAGATGCTGCATCTTGGCAAAATCAAACAAGACGTTCATGTCATATTGAGTCGTCCATTCTAACAACGACCTTCCCCATATTATGATGGTCTTGAAGGCCTTCATTCGAAACGGAACTTCCTCTAGGCAGGCTTCTACCACAAGAGGCCGCAGCTTGCCCTCTCTGATGTACTCCATAACCTCATAACTCTCATCCCATCCACCCATCAGGAGACCCTGGAATCTAATCGAACGTTCCACCATCAAAGCCAAGGGTATGGTCAAGTTTCCTCTTGATTTTGGTACCCTGGTCACAGTTAGAGCTTCACATGCATATTGGTGAGTAGTGTCTTACCCGACGCATATGACTGAGCCTCCATCGCAAACGTAATCGATCAGTCCTTCGAAGGCCGTTTCGCAACCTGATGTAACAACCAGATAATCGGCGTTCCGCCGAGCCTCTTTGGCATTACGTAGTCTTTGGCACGCGTCGGAAATGCTCCTTTGGAACTCGTCCCAGTCAGTCGCCTGGTCGGGGGCGGCAATGAATTCGTCAAAGGTATCGGCAGCTCTCGAGCCCAACGCTTCGGCCTTCCATGCCAGATCGATACCAATGACTTTAGCTTTGAAAACATTGCGGGCCATCATTCCGGCCAGATGTCCAATCCCGCCGCAAACCCCACTGACAATGACCACGTCGCCCGGGGAAGGATTTGCAGACTTCAAAGCCCTGAGTGCCGCGGCCCCGGAACATATAGCGGTGGTGTACATCCCAGGACGGATACCCATCCCTTCATCGATAACGAAATTTGGTAGCGGCATGAGGGAAGTATAAGGTGCTGTTAGGTATTGCTGAAACGTGCCGTTGTGGTGGCGAGGGAAGGTTGTCTGCGCCTGACAGGATTCGGGGATGCCGTGCGAACAATAGTAGCAAGATCGGCAGTAGGAGGCCAGATATCTCGCCGCAACTGGTTTGCCTAGAAGTGATCGATCGAAGCTCATGACTACGTGCCCGATACCTTCGTGGCCAGCGATATGATTTGGTCCCCGGAGGCCGTCTTCAGGGCCGAGTGAGAATAGAACATCCTGTGAATGTGTTGCTTTAGCAATTCGCTCACTTGGATCCCACGAAGACCGCTTACGCTGCCGCAAATGCCTGTCCAAGCTATTTTGACAACAACTTCGCCAGGCCCTGGGGGTCGCACGGGGATTGATTGGACCTCTTGGTTGAGGCTCGGGCCCAACTTTGGCGTAACGATTGCTGTCTGCACTGAGGGTATACTGATGCCACGCAAAGTGTACGGAGACTGTGACAACAGGCTGGCATCCGGCAGCTCAGGCCGAGAGGCTATCGAAATGCCACTGAATGACACATGCTCTGACAACTGAAGCTTCTCCCGATGAGATTCACTTACCATCGTTGCGGTTTTGCTTGTCCATCAGCTAAAGGCAATAATGTTAGTTTCTGATACCTAAGCGTCTGAATGCCAGGAGTCTACACAATATTTCAATTGCCATTGCCCGAGATCCCACAGGTTGAATAGCACCTTTACAAGAATATTGCGACAGTTGACGAAGCGGAATACATATTCCTCCCACGGCCTTATCAACGGCAGGTCCCTGTATTTCCGGCACCGACCGGCATCTCTCCCGGTATCGGCGCTCCAAGCACAAATTCACGATTGAAACTTGATAACAGTCGAATGTTCATGTGGACGTTCGCGATATGTTTTCCGCACTTGCATATCCAAGATCTTTGGTGTATGCATTGGAAGCGTCGGAGGGTCGGGATCGCCCCAATAGAAAGACCCAATGGTAAGCCTGCAAGCCGCCAATGGCTCCGCATAACCTGATTTGGCAACTTTCCATTCTAAGACTTGCCAAATCTGAGCAGGGCAGGAAACAAGTCGTCAACCATCGGGTCATCTAAGCATGTCAACTCAAGACACTTCGCTTTTAGATGATGACGAAAAGTTTGGACTGTTTTGAGTGGTACCTATTCAACATGAATGCTGAGGAATATAAATTCCGCCGTGGTCACTACCAGAGTGCTACGTCAGTTAGACACTACGAGTAGTGACTAGCCAGAATATAAGCAAATGTCCGCTTGATGAAATATTGGCAAATCATTCTAGGCAAACAAGCACAGTCTCAAATCATCAATTGCCACGACCAATCAAGATGTCTCACTTGACCTACTACACGTACCAAGGCTTCGGGTCAGACAACCTCAAGTCACATGCGTACAATCAAGCTGTGCGCATGGAAAATCAAATCTTCATTTCTGGTCAAGGTATTTCGCTCACTTTTGCTTCGCTGTGTGTCTCTTAAATCCGACCTTGTTTGCCACGAAATCGCGGGACATCCTATAACTCACTTCAAAAGGTGGCCACGACAGAGTCACTGGCAAACATTCTAGAGATATCGACGAGCACATTGAACAAGCATTCGAAAACGTCGACTTTGTCTTGAGAGATGCTGGTGGGAAGAGCTGGGAGCAGGTCTTCATCGTGAGGTCATACCACATTCACCTCACCGATGAGGCACAGGCAGCAATGGTCAGAAACTTCAAAAAATGGATGCCAAACCATAAGGCGCTTTGGACCTGTGTGGGGGTTACGAGACTAGGGTCGGATGGCATGCAGGTCGAAAATTGAGGTCGTAGCTCACGACCCTGAAGGGGCTGCGGCAGCAAAAGCAAAGGAACAAGCTTGAAGGATGATCACTATTCTCGAACAAAGAGGCTGAAACGTCGAGACATTGGTCAGAATACAACATCATCATGTGAAAGGACAAATGATATATTTAACTTTTATAACCTATGCTCACATCTGAGTTGAAAATGCGGTTGATTACTGCTTGGTCTCGTAGCTGATCAGTCCGTCTATGGTTCCCGCGTGCAAGCCACCAGTGATCGCAATATCAGTTGCTGTGGTATGTCTCGCGGCGTCACTGAGAAGATAAATCACAGCGCCCGTCAAGTCATTTTGCGTGCTCAGACGCTGGTTAGGAGGCGCCAGCCACATCTGCTCTCCTTCTCGTTTGCTTTTCAGCTCTCGCACCTTGCGCGTCATTTCCGAGTCGACAAACCCGGGGGAGATGGTGTTGACGCGAATCTGGTGGGGTGCCAACTCAACAGCCAACGCCTTAGACAGCATGAACACCGCTCCCTTTGAGGCGTTATATGCCGCCATACGGTAGCCAGGCAGACCGATGTGCGCAGACTGAGAGGCCAGGAGGACCATACTACCTCCAGTACCCTGCTTCACCATTTGCGCTGCCACGAGCTGAGCTACGAAGAAAGTTCCACGAACCTGTTGGAAATATTAGCGATGATGATTCCCACACGGAAGCAATGACTAACGTTGATCTCTTGAATGCGATTAAACTCATCCCAAGTTTGCTCAAGGAACGGCTTATCAATGGCGATACCAGCAGCCGGCACGCACCCGTCGATGGTGCCAAACTCACTCAACACCTTATCAAAGGCAGCCTTGATACTCTCCTGAGATGTGACGTCGGTCTGGATGTAGATAGCCTTCGTAGAGAACTTTGCGGTCAAAGTGCCAAACTCTTCAACTGGCTTCTCCTGGATATCAAGCACCGCGACATTACCGCCCATCTCACAGATGGCGCGAGTGCAGGCAAATCCAATACCCTGCGCTCCACCAGTCACGATGAAATTGCGACCGCGCAGCTCAAACATCGGCCGCACATCGTCAAGGGGGTCAGAAGGAGGCATCTTGGGGGTTGTCGGGGGCGTGAGATATGCTGGTTGGATGTGGTAGAATACTGTATTGGATGAGTGTTCCTGGTAAGAGAAAACGAGAGACATGGCCAAATGCCTTTCGACGTCACAAATGCGCTCTGTTTCTTATCGTGGTTTTTGGGGTTATGGTTCAGGAACTAGTTCCGACCTTCGGAAAGTGGGTCCCGGCCCCGCTGCCGGGGGGGCTACGGAAGCTCCGAAGCTGTCAGATCTGACCCGCAGCACGATGCGACGATGGCCGAGACAGGTCGGCAACACCAAGAGAGTAAACAAGATAAGAAAATCAGTCGCGTGAAATGTTTCTGATTTGATCATGGACGCATTACCGCATTGAAGTTGCTGAAAGGCTCTGTTATCGTTACCAATCATGGCATCCCACGCGCCCGCTGCATGCTGCACAGCCGGCAAACTACACGAGTACGCATTCACACATGAGGCCACATTTTGTAGCTTAAAATCGAATCTAACATATTGCAGAGGTACCCCTGAGGGTAGCCTGATCCAAATTGACGGCCATATCGAAGCGTATCTGGCGATACCAACATCTCAGCAGACGCCCGCGCGAGCAGTACTGTATCTGCCGGACGTCATCGGCATATGGCAGAATAGCAAGCTCATGGCTGATGAGTTTGCACGCCATGGCTACGTCTGTCTTGTTCTCGACACTTTCAACCGTGATACCTGTCCATTAAACATGCCTGCGGACTTCGATATCATGAAGTGGCTGCAAGAAGGATCCGACGGCCAGAATCCGCATACGACAGAGACCATTGACCCGATAGTCCAGGCCGCAATCAAGTATCTGAAAGGCATGGGCATTGAAAAGATTGGGGCAGCAGGGTACTGCTTCGGCGCAAAAGTGAGTTCCTGGTCTTACAGCACTGCCGTTGTCAGTCATGGGTTGCTAAAGAAGACTTCAGTACGCTGTGCGCCACTACCAAAGCGGCATTCAGTGTGGTTTCATTGCTCACCCCTCATTTGTGGACTCAGATGAGTTGGCTGCCATTACTGGGCCATTGTCCATTGCTGCGGCTGAGTTCGACGACATATTCCCGGCAGAGAAGCGCCACGAAAGTGAAGCGATACTGGCGAAGACAGGAAAGGACTACCAAATCAATCTGTTCTCTGGAGTCTCCCATGGTTTCTCTGTTCGTGGTGACGTGAAGGATGAGAAGCAGCGGTTTGCAAAGGAGCAGGCCTTTTACCAGGCGATTACTTGGTTTGACAGATACTTCAAGACCAACTAGACCTTCATAGTCTTGTCGAGATGCAACACCTGATTGCATAATTGTATATGAGTGGACCTAAAATTAGACTAGGCGTTTATAATCAATCATCAAGGATGCATTGAATGCAGCGGAGTCTGTACTACAACCTTGGATTATTGTTCTACACTCAAGAGTCTTTATGCGACCGTGCGACTCAGGTGTGTACCTCTCATTTGTTGCTTGTAGTATCTTTTGCAGTCAAGCACTTGTCAAAGCAGAAGGGAGTAGCGGAGGATCTGGGAAATGAGTGGGTATCAATCATGACCATTCGTCACTGGAACTAAAATATACTCTCTGACAGTTCTGCACTCGCCTCACCGCCGGTTGTCCAATCAATCCCCAACAACCCATCCCACCCGGATTCCGTATTGTTAACACTTGAAATCCCAGCCAACGTGCCTGCAACTTCAGACTCCACAGCCACATCGGCACCAAGACGTGATGGATGATCCGTGCTGAACTGAGCCACCTGCGAACCTGTTCGGCAATTTCTTGGTCTCTCAAGCATCCCCAAGCCGGTTAGACTTTCTCGGACTTCAGATAACTTCTCAGCTAACCCCTGGGATGCTCTTGAGATCTTCGCATAACCAGTCGCCAGGGCGACAGCCATCTCGTAGCTTCGGCCCATAGCTCCAGCAACCTCCGTAGAGAGAGTGGCCAACACAGCTGACCTGTTGTGTTCAAGGAATGATGTAAGCACGAAGCCCAGCCCGGATGCGGATGCAAGAAGAGGCTGATAGAACGGTTGTTGTTTGCGGTAAATGTCCGTTGTCGTGTTCAGATTGTAAAGAACGTTGCAAACGTCGAATAACACTTCAATGGCGGGTCGGAGGTACTGCTTGCTGGTTTGTACGTCGGCTTTTGAGAAGAAATGTGGTTTGAATAGGAGACTTCGAACAGACTCGGCCCGGAGATTCAAGAGGATCTTCCATGTCGGAGGCTGGCTTAGGGGGTTGCTGTGCCAGAGTTGGATTATAGAGGGGTCCGCAACCGCCCTCTTCCGCCATTGTTCGATTCGGAAGTTCATGACCTCGAAAGCTTCCTCGTCGTCGTATCGTTGTGACTTTGTCGCTTGGGAAATAGGATCACTGAACTTGTCGCTGAGCTTGATGAATGTGAGCATGGCTTCGAGATATGGAAGTTTAATCTAGTGGGAAAATGTCAGCAAGGTTGCGTTTCGACTCCGAAAAGTTGTCTCGCAGGTGGCCTTACAGAAGAAGTGTTGATGGGCCCGAAAGCGCTCTCCTGGAAATTTCTCGGGAGACCTGCGGCAGCACTCCATTGGCGGTCGAGAATGACGATGCTTGACATGAGAGCCCATACTTCTGTACGTTGAGCCCGTGAATCGAGCATGTCTTCCGACATGACGCCGTTGTGGAACCCGAGTTCCATCAACATGCGTCCTGCAGTTCCACACATGCGCCATGCAGATTGCGGCGTATCGTTGAAGAAATCATAAGCGCCCTGGCCCAATTGTGAGAAACTATGTCATATGGGAAATAGCAATCGTCTAATTACCTTGAGCAAGACTATTATAACCCCATTCATAGTAGACCTCTGGGCGGCAAGTTTGCTGCTGATAGCGGGCTGGATACTCTCTCGGATGATAGATTCACTTTCGTGTTTTGACGGTGTCGCATCGGCATGAAGTCCTATCAACAAAGCCAGATTCAGAATCAACAGGTCGTCTTCGGAAGCGACCTCGACGGGCTCGGTGAAGAACTCCCACGTCGTCGAGTCTCCATCGGTATAGCAATTACGAGCGCGCGTCTGGACTTCATCAATGTCGACAATTGGGTGAAGATCACCGATCACTTCCTGATATACGCCTAATAGTCTCCTAGCATCTTTCAGGCTCATCAGCCCTCTGAACTTGAGAATAGCTGAGGCATCGCAGGCTGGTGTTTGGGTCTGGCCAGCAGAAGCTTTGTCTTGGGCAAAGACTACTTCATTGAACTCGATATCTGAGGTAACGTTTAGATGTGGTGGGTGCCGTGATTGCGTGGCAGAAAAGCTGCCCCTCGGTGGTTCGGCTTGCGATTGCGATTGCGATGATGCATTGAGGCTATTATCTGGGCTAGGCAATCCGTATATCGGCCGGGGCGGATTTTGCCAATTCTGCTCGATTGCGCCCACGTAGTCCCCAATAGCGGTCGCATCGTTCATAAGAGTTGACAGGAAGTCTTCGTTATTGCAATCGGTCGCCTCAAAGGTGGGTTCGGGTGGGCTCTGGCTCGACGTTTGAACTCGAGACGCTAGGCTGTTCAGCTGGCCTTGAAGACTGGAGAGGATCTCCATAATTGCGTCTTGGTTATTACTAGACGTGCCGCTACAGTCAGCGCAAGCGATGGAGAATATGATAGTTGTGACAAACCATGATGAAGAAGGAGAGGAGCTGTTTCGCTTCTCCTGGCGTTGGATCGTTTCGACGATTGCTTGGGGCCACTCCTCTGTTCCAAGGAAGCTATCGTAACTGCATGCCTGATCGCGACCAGCGCAATATTTGCATGGTTGACGACCATCGCATTTACCCTTGCGCCGGCGACAGGCATCGCAGGCCCGCAAAGCATAGGGTGCTCGTCGCTTTCCCGACTCTCCGTTCGAGTTGCCTGGCCGCTTTGCCACGCGTGCCTCCCTTATCTGCGACATTTATTGTGTCCTCGTTCTGGTCTTATCGGGGCCCGGGCGGTATCGTCAATAGGAAGAGCGCGCTGCTTGAAGGCCTACTTTGGACAAGAATGATTGGCAATGTGTGTAGTTACAGCTGCATCGGTATGCAGGTCGCACAAATCGACGTTGGAAAGATCACAGAGACAGGGCAGATGACCACGCATGCAAAATGCCGAGAAACACGTAGCTGGGTATGGGGCGTTATCTTTTCGAAGGCGAACATTGGACGGCGACCATTCCCCAGACCCGCACCGGCTGCCGGGAACCCCTTTCCGGGGTGCAGATAAGGGTCAAGGCGGTTTCTACGAAGGTTTCTCCTTATCCTGATAGAGGGCCTTATCATGCTGAGAATGCGGGGGAAACATGCTTGACCCCTGTCCGAAAGGGCCAAATCAATTGTCGGCCGGGTACCTCCTCAGCTAATGGTGCACTACCCGATGCCTCCCTCTATCTTTTGCGTACCTGGTAGCTGAACATGCTATTTGAAGCTACCGAATTCCGATCCCTCATCTTCGCGGCAGTTTCAGCTCCCGTCACAGGCACTCTGTACTCCAAGGCCGTGCCAGGCGGTTGGCCCTCGACAGCATGAGGAAAGGGAAGGTATTCAGGCATCAGGTCCATCTGCACGAGAACAGTTCCTTGATCCCATGAAATATGTTCATGATAGAGCCGGTCCCCGCGGATATTTACCACGGCTGTGAATGGGACCTCCACATACTTGAATGTGGGTGGAATTCCGGGGACGCTAGACACAAGCTTTGTTTAGCGCCCACATCGCGTTAGATAAACCCCAGTCACAGATGATCACTTACAGCCAATCCACGATTTTGTTATGCGTGAACTTGTAGATGAATTCGTCAACAATGCGGTCGATACCAATTGTTCGGCTAATGAGTTCCAGTTCCGTATCATCCGAGTTGCTGAAGATGAAGTTGTTCCGGTAGAACTGAGTCAAGGGCGCGCGTCCAATCCCGCCAGTCAACTGCGTGCTTTGGTCAACTGTTTGGGTCCCTGCATAGCGTGCGCGGCGTCTTTACTTACAGTAGGCACATGATTCACATAAGGTTGATCAACCATGGTACTCATCGTATGCTCAACCGAGCGATCCGCAAACTCGTAGTATGTGTGTTCGTCCCAGATACTTTCCAGGTCGAAATATGGGCCGTTCATGAGTGGCTTGAGAAACTTCAAGTTCCTCGTATGCGACAGCGACTCTGCCCAATAGTCGAAGTCATCTTGGAATGGTGTTGCAAAGCGAAAGGACTTCGCTTTCGCATATCTGTAAGTTGTGACACCAGCCGCCTTGCCCGTTACAGATGTAGGCTGCCCTGCCACATGACGCTGTACAGGAATTTCAGCCTTTATCAGATCTTCTTCATCTGACGAATTGGCGTACACGACACCGCCGACGATGCTGGGAAAGTTGCTCAAAGCATCCGCAACCTCATTCCACAGCGTTGAATCGTATGCTATGAGCCAATCGACTTAGTTTTTCATCTCGTTCGGAGGCCATTGTCGGAGCTCACCAATGATTCCAAAACGACTCTGCGATTCCAACTTGTCGCAACTCTGCATCGCCTCCAAAGCGTATCTCATGACTTCTGCAACATCGCCGCCATGGGAGATTGCCTGCGCTTGAATACTGACCACCACATAACCTTCCTCGGCCCATTTTGCAAGTGCCGATGGAACGCCATCAATGATCTCCAGGTGCTTGGAGGAGTCTTGCTGCAGAATTATGAGGCCGGGTCCATGGCCTCGCCGTGAGAGTGGTGGCAGCAGGGTGATGCCTTGACGAAGCTGCTGTGGCCGCGCTTGCGGCAGCGGTGCCGGAGGTTTGCTGATGTCTGCGTACATGTTTGAATCTATTCGATTTCCTTGTTGACAATTTGGTGGTAGAACTTTGATTACAATTGTCAAACTGTTGCTCTTATCTAGTAGCTATCAAGCAAATGCAAATTATCTTATCTACGTGTCAAAGACTCCTTTACAACCTGAATTAAGGATGTTCCGAGGAGCTTACATGGGCAAACCTTTTGTGTTTGGCATAGCTCCCATTGAATTCCCATGGGTAGTCGTCGCAGCTACATCCGGAGTGGCTGCGAGACGCATAGGACCGGGGTCCGTTCCGTTCCGATCGGAAGTTCCGTGATAAGGTCCGTTCCTCACACGACCACACCCAAGCCCATAGTCACCATACTATGCAATTAGGGGACCTCAGCATCACGAATGAATGGTCATCTACCGTACGATGTGTTTCTTAGGATGAACACTTGCAGCGAAACTCAGCTCATCGTTGGTCTACCCCACGAAGTCCCCTGCCCTCTTCAACGCGGATGCATCCCTGTAATGAGTTGATGGCATTACGATAAGCCAACCGGAAGGTGTTTTAAGAATAGATCAGCTTTCGGAACAACCGTTCCTGTGCCGGGTGGGAAGACGCCACTGTCAATGTCACTGTGAGCCTGCTCTATGGAAATTGCGGTACAGGGTGTCTGACTTGCGTGTAACCCCGTGTTGGCTCCATTGCCGAATCCAATGTTGCCATGCAGCCATCCTTTGGAGGACGTTGGAACAACGATTTGAAATAACAAGTCGTCATCGCGCACACACCAGTCTGCTTTCAGATGACTCTCCTTACTTGTCACAACCACCAGGACTGAAGACATCAGCATTTTGGCAGCAACTTCGTTTCCTTGGTACAAGCCAACTACATTCTTTGTCAACCTACAACTATGACGACCAAAACGGAGTTGTATGACGCCATTGTCGTTGGCGCCGGTAAGTCGTTCGAGCTTTTAATCAGGAAGTAATTGGACAATGGCTAACATGCACTCGTAGGCTGGTTCGGGCTGGCAGCTGCAAAGGCTTACAGCCAACTCAACCCTACTGCGAACCTCGCCGTCCTCGAAACAGCCGAGTCTTGCGGTGGGACTTGGTCAAAGAACAGACTGTACCCGGGTTTGAAGTCCAACAACATGATCGGCACCTACGAATATCCCGACTTTCCCATGTCCGAAGAAGTCTACGGTGTGAAGCCGAACAACCATATCCCAGGCGCAATCCTCCATCGCTATCTTACCGACTTCGCGAAACACTTTGGCTTCTTCGATCGAATCCAATTCAATACCTCCGTGGACTTGGTTGAGCGCCTTGGAGACGATGGTTGGCGGCTGTCCGTGACCTCTGCTGGCGGGGCCCGCACGATCGAGACTGAGAAGTTGATCCTGGCCACTGGTTTGACCTCAACACCTAATATCCCTTCATACGAGAACTCCGAGAGTTTTGGGGGACCTCTCTTTCACGCCAAGGACTTTTGCAAGAAGGCACCAGAGCTGAAGGACATCAAGAACGCCGTAGTCGTTGGCGGAGCCAAGTCCGCGTTCGACGTCGCTTACGCCTTGGTTCAGGATGGCACGACGGTAGACTTGATTGTTCGTCCCAACGGCCATGGCCCCGTTTGGATCGCGCCACCTTTCGTCACACCGCTCAAGAAGCGTTTGGACCAGCTTCTCAACGTTCGATGTATGTCTTGGTTCAGCCCCTGCCCTTGGGGTTTTGAGGATGGCTACGGCGGCGTTAGAAATTTCCTCCACGGAACTGCTGTGGGACGATTCATCGTGGACTCCTTCTGGAAGGTCTTGAGCGGCGATGTTCTCTCAGCAAATGCCTACGACTCTCACCCCGAGCTGGCAAAGCTCAAGCCATGGCACTCTGCTTTCTGGATCGGCAGTGGTCTTAGTATTCTCAACTATGACAGCAGTCTTTTCGATCTCGTCAAAGAAGGCAAGATTCGGGTTCACATTGACAACATTGACCGTTTGGAGCCTCACCGCGTTATCCTCGCATCTGGAGAACAACTGGATGCCGAAGCCATCATCTGCTCCACGGGCTGGAAGAAGGAGTCAACCATCAAGTTCGCCGGGCTCGGAGAGGAGAAGTTTGGCCTCGCTGTCACCCCCAGCGAGAAGCGGGAGCTCGATCAGGACGCTGATGCCAAGGTCCTGTCCCTGTATCCCCGACTCGCCGCACAGCCAAAGCTCAGCTTTCAGCCCAAGGAGGCCAACCCCTTGCGCTACTACCGCTTCATGGTTCCGTCCACGATGATGTCCAAGCGCAACCTCGCCTTCGCCGGCATGATCTCCACAGTAAGCACCTCTGTGTGCGCGACGATCCAGGGACACTGGATTGCGGCATACCTGAGCGGCAAGCTGGACCGTGAGCCAACTACGGAGCAAGAGATTACGGATGAGATCATGCTCCATACCCAGTGGGGCAAGTGGCGCTTTGGAGCATGTGGCTATGGCAACAGCCTTCCCGATTTCGTCTTTGAGGGTCTGCCTTATGTCAACATGCTGATGAAGGATCTTGGTTTGGAAACACATCGCAAGTCTAGCGGCTTCCAGGAGCTTACCTCACCTTACTTGCCGGTCGACTTCCGAGGATTGGTCGACGAGTGGAAGATTGGACATGACGTTGATGAGTCTGATAATGGTTCATCGAAGCTTGGCAAGGCGGAAGTTGAGGTTTCGCAGGTTTGATTCTGTCAAACATAATGAGCCGAGTCCCGTGTTTTGATGTGCGCTGCTGGGGTATTGTCTATAGCTCATGCTTCCAGCACTTTTCTTTTGTATGTTTCTGGAGTTCAATAGTGTAACTTCACGTTCAAGTTAAAATACTTCACACCCATTTTTCAATCATAATACTTGAAGCCACTATCATCCTGGAAGAATCGGGGTCGGCACGATGCCGACCAGCCTGTTTCAACCTAAGGTGTCTCGAACACATGCAGCCATGCGTGAAAGCTGAGCCGCAAGGCTCGAAGCAGCCTACAACTAGGGCAAGATCAACAAGCTTACCATCAATACCATATTTCTTCATGAATTAGGTCCCAAATAACCAGAAGGGCCTATGACGTGGTGGGCGGTTAGGCAGGGATTTACGGTCTGTGGGGTTGTTCGGTTCTCTACTAGATGGTCATGTGTGTAGTAGTGTACGCGGGTTTCGCAGGTTGTAAACGTCACATGACCTTGACCGAGCTTTTTCTAAAGACATGAAATAGTGATACAGCTTTTTCTTCCGACACCCTCGGGAAAATCAAGCTGTGACAGGTAGGTTTCCCCCCGGGCCCTGACGACGCCGCAGAGTACCTTGCCGTGCTGCCGCTTCAAGCGAAGCTGAGCAAGGGACGGCTAAATTTTACCCAGTTCCATCGCCTACGCGAGACCTCATCTCTTTCGGAGTCCTCCCCACACCCAACCCAAGCACGAGATCCAGGCCTCCGTACTTCATTCAAGCCGCCACGACGCATCTTTACCTTGCAAGAAAAGCACGTCAACAGTCTTTGTCATGGCAGGCAGCATTCTAAGAGAGCTACCTTGCTCAGCCCACGGGCAGAATTGCGTGGCGATGGCCCATCTACCGCTCTTGTCAGTGGGTATCGCAAGGCATGAGCCGCTCGGGCCTCCTTTTGAGGTCGCCGACGTCCCCTCACCGCTTGCTGGGTTCTTGCGAAGATTGCCAAGATGAACGCCGAAACCCCAACACGGAATATGATAGCGTCTTGGATTTGAAAAGCGGCAGGCGGCAGACGGCAGGACTAAGGGCTTGTTGGGCTTCGTCATCGTGTGCGTTCTGCCCGAGAGGGGGCCGGGAAGGGTTCGGATGTTGAAGGAAAACATCAAAACTCCAAAAAGCAAGTTGAAGCAAGGCCAGGAACTTGCCTGTTTTCTGACTAGTCACATGTACCCTGTTCGCGGTCAGTCTGTCTGATCGCTTGATGATCTACGTCCTACGTTGTGATTTGTTGGCCCGCCCCTGTCACTGTCTCATACCCCTGCGTGCCAAATGATGCCCTCATCACATTAATACGAATTAGCCGACAAAGCCGACCTTTCTGCTAAAACATGCATCAATAGGCGACATCTTATTGGAAGCGAACGTTTTTTGCTCCCTGCTTTGAATAGGGCAAAATTCATGAACGTTTTCTGTTATTGAGACATGGGATCTAAGACCTATGTTTCTTCTTTTCAGCTGGACTTGTCGTCTCCCTCTTGGTTGACAGCGCGGCAGGGTTGTCTACGTAATGGTTGACAGCGTAGCAGATCGTCGTCGCATTGAAAAAGTGCATGTAAAATTAGTCTGAAAGCAGAGTGTGCCTTGTTAGCGGATGAAACATAATTTGCCCCCATGAAGATCGAAGATTGTTTGATTGGCATGGAACGAGGTTCATACGGGTCTTCATCGGAATCTCTTTGGGCCTGGAACTTGCTCTACTTTGGTGTTAGTGGGGGATCGTCGATGGATGGTGCCCTTCCCCTCAAGTCCCACTCGCCGGCTTGCTTGGCAGGGTATACTTCAACTTAATGCCGGCCCCAGTCATTAGGTTTTCAGCGCCCAACAGCTGCCTACATCAGTCAACTTGAGATGTGACATATCTTCCTTGAGTGCTCCGCCACTTCACAGTTGGCCTCCCGTCTTCTGGATCGTCCTCTCATTCGCAGCAGCAGCTTCAGGTACCGGAGATCAAGATTCTATTCGCAAGCTTCTCCAGATGGGGAAGTTGAAAGCCGAAAATCTCACGTGGCATCGAGAACCCTACATGAGATTCAGCGAGGGACGCGGAATCTCCCCGAACCATCAACCTCGTTGTGTGCCGTGTCGTATCCCGCGATGAACCACGACAATAGGTCTGAGCACAGGCCCCAACCTCAGCAACATGACTGCTTCACCGAATTCCCACTTACCGTTAGTCAGACCTGGACGAAATGTTTAGACTGTTGACTCAGGATGAGGTACGGAATGTGGCTGTTTCTAGTCCAAAGTCTCTACAGAATTCTCCGTCGCGGCCAGAGACGCCATCTGCAAGGGGAATGGTAACTTACAAGGGGTGGATTCGCCGGGGTTGAAAGACATCACCCCATTAAATGCATCCGAATGAGCCGCCTCACTTTGCTAACGGCTTGACTTCGGAATCTGCGCCAAAGGTTTCCCATTGCTGCCAATCAAAGCCCGGAAATCCTTGGCTTCATTCCATGGCGGCTATCACATAGCGCTAGCTGGCATTCAGGATGCGAGCGGAGGACTAAAGAGGGCTGATTTCTACAGCGAGATACCAACCCGCCGGAAATCACGCCAGGGGCTGAATGTCGAGTTACAAATAGTCCATCCACTAGCTCGTAGGGGCGATCCATAGAGACTCAACATGTACCCGTGAAGTAAGCCCTAATATGAAACTTGGGGCCATGATATATACCGCTCCACTCAGAAGCACCCATAAGTAATACGGGGAACATGCCAGAGTCGCATCCGCGATGTTTGAATGCATGCACGATACAAAGTAAGAACCAACAGCCAAGTCCTTGAAGCAAATCACCCTGGGAAGGCGTATGATCCCCGAGTGACAGCTGGATGCTAGGGCAGGGTTACTTCCTGTGGAGAACGCCCTCTTGCGATCAACTAGGCTACTGGGCACGCTGTCGCTACGTTGACCGAATTTGAGAATTCCGTGCCGTGTTTTGCCTCGCATGGTCAAAGCTCTATCAATTTTCCTCTTGGCAACCAAGATGTATGCTTCGGGATGTAGCATGGATGCTGGACTCATGTCTATCCCGCATGCGTTGTTGAATGCAGATCTGCAGGTCCAATCAAGTCATCGCCGACACTAAGAATTCCATGATAAAAGCAGCCTCCACGGCACATTCTTGATCACTCAACTGTATTGTAAGACGTGGTTCAGCTACTAGGCCGAACCCTCTTCGTCAGTGCTTCAGACGATCTGTCACCTTTCGGTGGGAATCGACCCTATTCGTTACCGCCTTTCCTTCTTTTCAACCAAATCCGTACTGCCAACCACCCTATCTGGATGCCTCCTGAGACATCTATCAGGCCTGTTTCAACATTCTACCGACTACTTCACGCCTCGATGATGAACTAGCCCGTCAGCCTGCCACACTGTTTACTCACAAGTTCGTTATTAGACAAAGCGATAACGGGTTTTCTGAGAAGTACGTTCAACTCTAATCGTATGTGAGGAGGAGTCTCTGGCACTAACTATCAAAAGTTGAATCAACGACATGGAAATCATGGAGCTCGTTGACAACAGACCACAATCTCACCGCTTCAACTGCGATTGGAAGACGTGCAATAAGGTACCATTCTACTCGACTACGTGGATATGCAACACGCCTGTGCCATCTTTTCCATTTGCTGATGATGTTCTTTTTTCAGGGATTCAAGCGCAAATCCGACTTGCAACGACACTACCGAATTCACACAAACGACCGGCCGTTCCCGTGCCCAGCGCCAGGCTGCGAGTCAAGCTTCATCCAGAGAAGTGCTCTGACGGTTCACTTACGAATTCACACTGGAGAAAAGCCCTATGAGTGCCAGTATCCCGGCTGTGACAAGCGGTTCGCAGATGTAAGTTTGATTGCGCGTCGTACAGCCTGGCGGAGAATGCCCCAAACGGTCATGTTGTATGCACAGTTGTATTAACTTCTTTCAAGTCTTCCAGCTTTTCTCGACATCGTCGATTACATGTAGGAAAACGCCCTTACACATGCGCCGTTGCCACATGCAGGAAACAGTACGTTGAAGCCCGTCGGGCCGTCAAATTGATTTTGCAAATCTAACTCTTCCGAAGCTTCGTCCGAAAAGTGGCAATGGTGCAACACCACAAACTCCATCACAGAACCAACGACGACTCTAAGGAATTCACGGACCAATGTTGGAACTCGTCGCCACGCCACGATGAGGTAGCCGCTACAAGTACTGCTGTCATGATGCCACCAAGGGTTGATGCAGCGTCGAGGGAGAGCCCACGGGCCGCAGGACACATCAGCTCCACTGAACTTCATAGCCACGATCGCGCTGGAGTTGCCGAACGTTTCGCAGAATCTCCCCTCGCCAACTCGTACAGACAACCATATGGAAGAGTCCACTACGACTACTCGACGGCCGACGGGCAGTTCTTTTACGATGATTCCCACAGTTCCCAGGGATCGGAGCAAGCTTCAAGTCCAATTGACGACTTCGCGAGCCAACAAGTCAGCTCTGGATGGCCTCCTCACCACTGCAATCCGCCGCCTTCGTATTCGAACCCTATTTCCGTACCGGAGCTATGGACGCCGTGCGTCACTGCCTCGGGTGGGCGTGCGGCTGGATTCTACAGCCATGAAACGATGTCATCTCCGCCCGATTTACAGCCAGTATTAGGATTCCCACCAGCTATCCCGTACGAGGTGCCGCGACCACATGAGTTGAGTTGGAATCCTTATCAGCCATGGCCGCAAGAGGGGAGGTGCCATGCACAAGATTTCTATCATCCAAGGATCTCGGCAAGTTTGGATCCAGCTCTGTTCCACTGATTTCGGATTCTCCGATACTGATTCGCTTGCTTCACATACACAACAACAATTATTGGGTCGACAAATCTTCATCATTACCTTATGTAAGATAGCATGAGTGGACATGTATGCCTCTCCTTGGGACTGGCGTTGCGCAATAGCATTATACGGTAATAATACAAATTCATCAAGCAAAAACTGCCTCTCGTAGCTCTACAATCCTGTTTTCGAAAGGCACCTGACGTTTTCTCTCGCTGTCATTAGCATTCGAAAACAACGAGCGAGATCTAAGACGAACGTTTTGATTGACGAGTCGTTACATGCTTGGTTAAGACTGGGTGAATCAACTGGTGAGACATAGTCAGGAATTCCATCTATTCGGCCGAATCTAAACCGGCAAGGCAAGCCGGGTAATGTGATGTCTCAGGCACTAGACCAACCTCAGTTCCATGCCTGTCCAGGAAATGATGACGCACCGCGGATTATGCTGAAAAGGGTTGTGAATCGGTCTACTCTGGGGCTGTTAGGACGGTTAAAGACAACAATGCGAGAGCCAATATGACAATGCACAATTGTCTGCTATGAGCGCTCACGACATAAAAATTTCCCCTTGAATCCCGAGCCGGAGGATAGCAGATTTCTAACACGACTCAAAGTTAAGGCAACCGCAATCCTTCCAGACGTCCCGGCTGGTGGGGCCGGGCGCCGCACAAAATCCGGGCCTGCATGCGGGATATCGCCGGCGGGAACCAGCGCGCATTCGGACGGTGATCAGGATTGCATGCATGGCGGCGGGGACCCGTGGTGGACTCAAGGTCGCTTCGAGCCTCTTTAAAACTAGTTGGTTGAGTTAGTCCGGGGACTTATGCGAGACTTCAACGGGCTCGGTGTTCTGATGGTTTGACTGGCTGGTTTAGTACAGGGGAGCTCGCGCTTGCAACTTCCTGATTGGCAGCGGTGTGGGGGGTCCGATGCAGTGTCAGCCATGCATTTTGCGGATGGAGATTCGAGATTGGCATTTGTGAAAACTGGTGGGATTTCCTCCGTAGTTTTTGAGTTTTGCCCAGACACTCTTCTGGTGCTCTTCTGGCTGTTATGGTGTTCTGTTCACTGATGGCGGGAGCAAAAAACTCATAGCCATGGATAGTTATGGCCCCGGAAACCAAGAGATAGGCCCCAGCCACAGCCATTTTGAGTTTTGATACGCGCTAAGCGCCAACTCATCACTTAGTCTGTGGCCAACGTCATAGGCCACAGCCCGTTTCTTGCTCAATCTCATTAGCCCTGAGCTATCCGTGGATGATGTCAATTGCAAAATGGCTTTCACATGATACAGACTAGAAGACGAGCCATTAAAAGAACTGCCTTCGACTTTGAAGGGCTGCGGAATAACCTCGGAAATTGAGTCCATGCAGCTGCAAGTCAAGTTAGCGGTTAGCCACAGATGACGCTAACAGAGCCAAAGTTGTTTCGGTGTTTGTTCAGCAACAAAGAAGGCCGGGAACCTTATCTCTGTGCAACAGTCTAATGCAGCTCTTTGCCTCTTCTTCCGGTGCAGCATTCGCCCTTCCCGACGGCAGCTCCCGACATCACACTTGCCAACATCAACAGCCACAAAGAGGATGAACCCGGGGGAGGCAACTCACGTGTGTGGCCAATGGCCTCTGCAGATCGCTCGATCGCTAACTGGCTAGGCGGTGAGGTGGATGCTGCATGGCCCGGTGGGTCGGCTGGCGGACCGTTAATGCCGTTATTACCTGCCTCTCCCCCAACCTTTCATGACCCCGCAGCGGTGCAGCACTCGCTATCAGAAACCACTCCATCTCACTCACCCTTCCTCTGTCAATTTTTTTCATCTCTCTCAATTCTCCCAACATTCAGCCTGCGAGTGTGTGAAGAGAGAGGCGAAGAAGCGAAGACGACGGGAGAATTGGAACCGTGACATCGAATCATGCCTCACAGAAAAGACAGGGACCCCAATGCATTTCCGACCCGACAGCTGCTCGTTCTTGGTAAATCACACCCCTCCATCTTGGTCTCTATGGCCTGCAACGCGCTGACACCGCAAACCCAGCAATATGTCGATTCTCAGAGCCCATCGCCTTCAACTCCATCCTGGCGTACACGTTCGACATGGTAAGGGACTTGGGCGTTGAAGACAAGGAAGCACCTTTTTACGCCGGTCTTTTGGTTTCTGCCTATGCCGTCGCGGAAGCTCTCACCTCCATGGGCTGGGGCGCGTTGTCCGACCGTGTCGGGCGGAAGCCCGTGGTGCTTTTCGGGCTTGTGGGTGTGGCCACCTCCAGTTTAATTTTCGGTCTCGCAAAAACCTACTGGGTCGCACTCTTGGCACGGTTCATCGGAGGAGCATTGAACGGTGAGTCTCACAACCTCTTAAGAAACGCTACACAGCATGACGCTGCGAAAGACTGCAATGTCCATAGCGTTCAACCAAACCCCAAACCCCCAGACCTCTTTCAATGACATCATTCTGGTTTCCACGCCTCATTTCATTATCGAAAGCTAACGGTCTAACTAGGCAACGTGAGCGTTATGCAAACTGTTTGGCTCACCCTCCCATTGAATTTTGGCATTCTCTAACCGTTAGGCAGATGGTTGCTGAAATGGTGAAAAATCCCGAGCACGAACGTGAGTTTTCCGCCAAAATCCGGGGGCAAAGTCCGGTGGCTCTGTCTTACTCGGCGATCCCCTGTGTAACCTTGCTGACAATTTTGATTAGCCAGGGCGTATGCCGTGCAGCCGTTCGTCTGGACTCTTGGCGGCATCATTGGCTCTGCCATGGGTGGCTTCCTCGCCCAACCGGCCAAGTTTTACAAAATCTTTCCCGAGGACGGACTGTTTGGACAGTATCCCTATTTGCTGCCGAATCTCGTCTCCGTCATTGTCATCATAGCCGCCGTCATCCAGGGAATCTTCTTCTTGGAGGAGACTCTTCCGCCGAAGCATGACTCGGAGGAGGACTTCACCGAAGCCGTGGCCGATGACGACTTTATCGACGAGAGAACCCCGCTCCGAAGGGCCCCGCGACGGAGCCTTAACCACCGCCGGTCGATTTCCACCAGCCACTCGAGGCCGCGTTTCGTGGAGTCGAGTTTGCCTCTCCCGATTGAGCACGACTTTGATCTCAGACGTTCATCTTTCGGAACGGTGCACTCGATCAAGGTTGTTTCTGACGAATTGAGGAGCGATTTGCTGCGCCAGAATGGCCGCCAGAACGGCCGCGCTCAGCAGCCGCCAAACAACAAGCCCAAAGTCAAGACTTTCAACTTCACCGTTATCATGCTCACCATCACACTGGTCATTTTCTCGTATCACCAAATGGCGGCTGGCTCGCTTCTCCCCACCTATATCCTCGATGAACCCGCGGCGCCTCACGGCCAGCTTGATCTGAGAGGTGGCCTGGGTTATGACGTTCACGATGTTGGAACATACCTGGCAGTCAATGGTTTCCTGGGACTTCTCATTCAGGGTGTCATTTTCCCGATTTTCGTCGAGAAGGTCGGCGTTTGGGGCTCCTTCATCTGGATGGTTGCGCTCTACCCGACGGCGTACATCCTGATGCCGTTCTTGTCGGCGTTCCCTGATGTCGTCACCCAGGCCGGAATCTACTTTTCTCTGGTGCTGCAGAGTTTCTATGGTATCATCGTCGGCCCGGTCACGCTGATCCTGCTTAAGGACGCGACGCCTTCGCCTCAGGCGCTCGGCAAGGTCAACGGCTTGGCCATGTCAGGCGCTTGCCTCGCCCGCACGGTTTCTCCGCCTCTTGTCGGTGTCATTTACAGTTTCGCAGGCTCTGCAGCGGCCTGGTGGAGTTGCTCTGGTATTGCTTTGATTGGAGTATTGCAGGTTCTCTGGGTCCCGAGGAAGCATATTCATATCGACCATGTGGAGGTCGACAACGGGCTGGCCCGACAGCTCACGAACAACTCGCAGAGAGGAGATGAAAACCGCGGCCGGGTTTGAGGGACGATTTTCACACATACATGGATATGGAGTTAACGGGCTTTGATTTGATACGAATTTTGGCCACCCCTTATGATGATGCTGTTTGGTTTCTTGTTGCAGTTATCACGGGTCATACACGGGAGTTCTTCACGAGTTGTTCATCTACTCACGGCACTCACGGCACTCACGGCTGAAGTTGGTACGATGCAGTTTGTCAATGCTTGGTCTTAATGATGGCTTCTTTCTAGGATTATATAAAATGTTTCCTTGCTACTTGCGCCCCTTTTGAATATGAGAGTTTGAGATCAGCAACAGCACAGTTGCAGTCAAGATTACGCAGTATGCATACATCAGAAGACGGCAGTGAGCACAACGCAATTCTAGGTTTACGAAGACAACATACCAAAGCAAGAAGTCCCACCCACACCACATCTAATGTCACCCCCGCAACAGCAACCACGTCCACTACAGCAACTACAATAATGGCTAAGACTGGACTTTCTAAGGTCCTCAGAGCTGCGACTATGATAGCTAAGCTCGCAGCTATGCTTATGTTGGATAAAAGGCTGGGAGATAGGGTGGGTGCGGATAGACACTTCGCCTATCGAGAGCAATGGAGAGAAGCCGCCTTGATTGATGACAGACATGCGATATCCAAAGACGCAATAGTCAACTTATGTACGCCGAAATTGAAACTCGAACACAAACATAGCGAGGACGACAGGCACGTACACGATGAGAACGTTATTAAGCAAAACGGCGGCGGGAGCAAAGGGGCAAAAGTAAATCTGCAAGATCGCGTTGTGATCGCCTCAGTGATATTATTGAACCTAGGTCATAGGTTGGCGCTAAAACGTCAGACCTTAGACACAGCATGAGTACTAGTGTCGGCACCTGTAGGCTATTAGATTACACTAATATTTATACAAGAAGTAAAGTATGTACGGTCCTTTTATCATAGTTCCAAGGACGTTTGAGCAACTTGAGGGGATGCCGCCGGGTCGGCTAGTCAGCTACGGCACATGCGTCCGTCGTTGGCAACAGACCATGCATCGCTGCCAACCGCAGCAACGTTGTACAACAGTCCCTTGGGGTCGTACTTTTGCTTGATCTCGAGAAGCTTGGGGTAGTTGACACCGTAAAAGGTGTTCTGCCAGTCCTTCTGCTGGAAGTCGGCCTCGTTGATGTACGCACCGGCGCCGGGAGTGGCGGCCTCGATGACAGGCTGGACGACCTCGGTCATGCGGGTTTGCTCGGCGACCATCTCGGAGTAGGGGACCTCGAAGCTCCAGGGCAGGGTGAGAGAGACCTGGACGATGGAGTCGCGCCATTGAGGCAGGACAGCGTTGTCGCCGCCAAAGTGAGAGACGTTGAGTCCGACACCAATGTAGGTGACACCGAGCTCGACGAGAGCCTGGGCAGTAGGGCCGAACTCGGGAAGCTTGGAACGGGGTAGCAGGCGGCCACCGAAGAGCTGGGTTCCAACTTGGATATTACCAGAGGGAAGAGGGCCCCAGTAGTTGTTGTAGTGGTCGCGGTAGTTGTCGAAAGCAGTGTAAGTGGGTTCGAGGTCGACACCCAGGAGCGCGAGAGCATCGGTGAGAGGCTTGAGAATTGTCTCAACCTCGGCCTGGGTCTTGTTGTAGGCAGTCATAGCGGGAGACTGCAGGAAGCCGGGGCCGAAGAAGTAGATGATCATGACACCCTGGTCGACGATAGCAGGGAGGGCGGCGTGGAAGACATCAATGACGGAGTACAGCAGTGCCGTGTTGTTGGTGTCGACAGTCACGGCAAACTTGGCGCCGGCGACGGGGGCATCGGGATGAGCCTTGACAGTGATAGAGGTCACGACGCCGTAGTTGCCGCCGCCACCTCCGCTAAGAGCCCA